TTTTTTTTTTTTTTTTAAATTTTTTCACAAGTGGAATAATTCTGATTAGTGGAAGTAATGTATGCATGTGCCTAGAGATCTGATGGTGTTAGCATTAGAAGAGAAGGGATGGGAAACCACCCAAAAGATGCTGCTCTGGCTGCAGTCCAGGCTGAATCCCCAGTGTCAAGCATGTGGCTGCGGGTTCCTGTGGCACAATGAGCTGGGTGAGTTTGTCCTGCAGCCAGGGGACTAGTGCAGCTCAGCACTGGGGCTGCTCGGGGAACATCATGTGGAAAGGCTTCACCTTGGAGCTGGACTTGTGCTTTAGGATATTTACTATTTCACAAGGACAAAGGAGTTTGGTCCAGGAAGGAAAAGAGGCTGTCTGTCCAATTTTTTTTTTTTTTTTTTTTTTTTTTTTTTTTTCTTTTTAACAGCTTGTCTCAAACAAGCTACAACAATATGCATCTCCAGCAGAGAAAGCAGGTCAGCACTGACTGCCATTCAGGAGAGATGGTCAATTAAAAGAAAGAAGCCAATTAAGAGACAATTGGGCACTCCTAGTTAGGAAGATACTCGGGAGAAAAGAAAGGAGATAAGGAATATGACTGTCTGAGAATACCCAGTCTCCCCAGCAGAGGCTGGAGCAAACCTGGGGCTGTGGATGAGATTCATTCATGTCCTTGCCTGCAAACTGAGGAACCATGCTATGATCAGACCCTAGAAATTCAAAACACAATCAAAATCCAAGCGACAGCACTGTGTTTTTGTCAGCTTTAAGCTTCTTGTTTTCCTTGCTAACAAGATCAAGAAATTTCTTTGCCAGAGAAAGTTCTATAATTCGGTAAACTTACAAAAGTTTGTGAAAGACAGGATTACTGATTAACTCCTGATTAATGCTGAAGCTTTAGGGCAGTCTAGCAGCTAAATTAATACTTAAACTGTACATGCAGGATTCAAAACCAACTGTTAACATTCTTGAGACTCTTGCAAAGCAAGCTGCCTCTCGAGGTCTTCAGAATAAGCATAACAGTCCTGGGTTTGGTCCCATGCACCCTAAGCACAATGAAATTGTGCCCATATAAAACCACTGAGAACAAGGTTAGAAGGAAGCCCAAGCAATAAAAGGTCAGGTCACACGAAAAACTGACCTTCACTTTATTGCAACAGAATTTTTGCAAAAAGAAAAAGTTGCAATCCCTTTCGAAAGAAAATGTAAGATGTAACCTAACCCACATCCACTGCCAAATCAAAGATCAATAATGTTAAATGTACCTTTTTATACTGCCCAAAAAACCTGAATATACTGGATCTGTTGAAGTGTCTAATACCAGCTAGAATCAAGAACAGCAGAAGGTAAATTTGGATGAAAAGTCTCTTCTGGAATGTACCAGATAAGGCTTCTTTCAATATCATAAAAATATATGGAGAAGAAGCTTTTAATTCAATTTACATTAAAGAGTTTCAATTAATTCCAGGGGGGAACAAAAAAACAAGCTCTGCTCAGCATACAAAGCAACAGTCTTTGTAATGGAGTAGAAGGACTCACACTTTTCTCTCTTTTTCAGAAATAAAGCTCTGTAAACACTGGGCCTGCTATCAATCTGTACCTTCTTGATGCTCTGAATGACTTGGCCCAATAACAGCAAAGCCACTGCCCTGCATTGCTGAGACAAGGCACAAAACCTGCTTAGACTTGGCTTCAGAGCAAACCAGGAACAGGACATGGGCTGTCTCACCATGTTTGGAATTTGAAGAAATTACCTTTTTATTTTAAATTACAAAAACTATCACCCTAAATCTGTATTCAAACCCACAAATGGTTCCTAATGGAATAACATGTTGATTAAGTCATCAAACAAAGCGCTCTGGTTGCTGGTAGCAGCAAGGCACCAGCTGCTTCTGAGAGCAACGTGTGTGTCAAGGGCAAAAGCTGACAAGTTTTCAGTTAAAATCCAGCTACCTGTTCATGCTGTCCTTTTCAGCAACAGAGCCACAGCTCACTTGGTCAGAGCCTGGGATTGATCCCTGTGTGCCCATTCACTGAAGGGCTGCACTCAGTGATCCTTGTGGGTCCCTTCCAACTCAGAATATTCTGTGATTCAAATGTGGAGTCAGCAGGAATGTTCCTACCCAAAGTGCACAGAAGGAAAGGAACCTCTGCCTTTCAATTAATTATTTAAATTACTTGATGCAACCCTTATGTTCACAATCTGCAGCTACACTGAGAAACATAAGCAGTCCAAAACCTCTAAGGACCTCAATCATTACAGAATACGCAGGGGGAACTTGTTGACAACTGCAGCAGTCATTTAAATCTGCTGGCACTTTTGGAAACAAACAGCCCTGTATAAAATCCAGCTGGAGCTGGCTTCTCCTCCCCTTGGTCTCTGAACACTGACAGCAGGACATCCCCACCTCCACCCACCAGGTGCTCAGCAGGGCAGGCAGTGAATCCTCTACCTGATCACGTGGAGCACACGGGTGTTTTTGCTCCTGAGAAAAGCATAAAGCAATTCTTCTGCAGCTGTCACTGAGAAATGCTTCCCCCAGAAACAGCTTGTGTTGTTCTTCAGAGTGTTTTTACTGCTGGACAGCAACCATGGGTTTTTCGTGGAAATGGTTTCCCTCTCCAAAAGGTAATTCATACAATTCTTCACTGTTAAAATCCACAAGCAATAATGGGTTGGTGATGTTAAAGCTTTCTGTCTTCCCACCAGAAAGTTATTTCATTGTTAATTTTTGGTCAAAGCCCAACAAATCATTCCCACCCATCAGAGGAGGATGTGCTGCAGCAGTCTGAGACTTCAGAAGTCTCCAATCACCAGTGAGACATCCCTGGAGTCTTGACCTTGTGTGCAGACTTTGTCTTTCTGCTGAAGTGCTGCTCAAAACATCCTTTGAGTAACTACTGATTTTATAGAATGTAAACTTCAAAACACTTCTCTGAATTTTAATGGACAAGGATAGTACAACAAAAATCAAGAGGATGAAAGGCAAGACCATGCAAAGGAAATAAACAATTTTGCTATATTTTTTTTTTAGGTTAAGTGTACAGAGCTTTTATGAAGCTAGTGAAAATCTTCTAGATGAGCCTTTAGGGCACATCAATTTAGAATTATTTTCTTTGTGCTCCCTCCTCACTAACATTGCTCAAAAACAGTGCTGAAAATAGTTGCCAGCAATGCAATTGAGCCTGTGAGAGGCACCATAAAGGCTTCTGTGCCTCAAGGCACATCACTTCTGCTCCTCCTGTTATTTTTCCATGTATTTAATTGAACTTGGCAGTAACCTTTACCACATGAAACCAAGATGGCAAAACAGTAGATTTGATCTGTGTGCTGAGTCTGGACTGCCTTGCTGTGAGCTGCTGGGGGAAGTGGTGCCTGGAGATTCCCTGTGTTTGAATGGGAGATATGTTACCTGTCCCCCAGCTCCCACTTGGTGGGAAATTTAGCCCCACATCTTGTCCATGTAGCAGCCAACAGCAAAAAAGTGGTCAGGATAGCAAACCTCTGCAGGATGGTTAAATGACATGTGACTGTTGATAGGGAGCACTGAGTATCTCTCACTAGCACAAGCAGAGGAACCTGATCCTTTACCATAATCCTTAAGCTTTCAAAATATTACAAATCATGGGCAATCAAAATAAAAGCAAAACTATAAACTATACAACCAAAACCTTGCATTAACCTTGTAACTACAGCCCAGTCTCCCCTTCACTTTATTTTATGCTGTGTTTCACCCCAAACTTTATGTTTGCCAGAAAGATTTTTCAAAATGGAAAGCAGTATTTTTTGTGTTCAGCTGAAATCCAGCACTGCAGGACAGGTACAGAAGGTACAGAAACAACACTGCTAAATGTGTTCAGGACTACAAATATCTTCTCATTTGCACAGAGAATAAGGAAAACCTATAAGATAAGGGCCTAAAGTCTTAGATTAAAGTTCTAAGACTCACCACACAGATCTAATTAGCAGAGCATAGTGTACAAGAGAGTGCTAACCTTCTGTGTTTGGGTGAGATTGCCCTGAATTGGCACACCTGGAGGGCAGGGTTGGACACCAGTGCCATCCCATCCCAGAGACACCTGGAGCATGCATTGTGTGGGCTGGCAGGCAGGGGCTGCAGGCAAACACCCCTGAACTGGCCCCTTCTTCCCCCTTGTAGAGGAGAGCAGAGAGCAGGGTCCTTCCCTGCTCCTGAGGGAGGATGGACAGGGCTGGGAGGGCAGCAGTGTCTTACTCACTCCCCAATGGCTTCACTGCATTGGTCAGCAGCCAATGTCCAGCTCTGCAGCACCAATCTCAAATTACAAAGCATTTCTAATGCACAGGATCATAGAAGTTGGTGCAGAACCAACTTGGTCCTGAAGCTGCAGAGGAGAAATTCTGGCAATAATGGAAGGACATAATCAGTATTACTGTCATAAAATGTCTGTAGTTACTACACTGGCAATTTTTCCAAATGGGTTAGCTTAGAGACCGGCCTCTTGCACTGATTACTAAATTATTTTCTTTACAAAGGTCTAAGTGGCTCTGCTTTCCAGATGAATAGCCTGAAGCCACTTGGTTCAGAGCTTCAGTCCCCTGAGATTCATCTTGGACAGTAAAGAAATGAGACAGATGAACACTAAACTATTCTGTGTACAAATCCAGCAGTGGCTTGGCTGATGAGAACACTTTGTGTAGAGTACCACTGAATTTAAAATAAAGACAGAGGTGAACTGAGCCGAGTTAAAAGTTAGAAGTCATCAGAAGCGGTATTTGATAACAAAGCATTTTAAACCAAATGAAGCTTCTTGAAGAGAATTTTGGCTTCACCACATCTCACTTCATGGGGAAAGCTGCCTTGCCAGGCAAATTAGGAGCAGTGTGCTGGAACTGGCACTTTCCCAGCCCAGCCCCTGCCAGAATTCTGGAGTGCCCTGTTCCCCTCGCCTGCCCCCAAGGAGTAGCAGTTTCTTTATCTGAACATGCAGTTCTACATTGGCCCAGCTGCTGCTGAGCAACACTTACTTTTTTCTTGACAGAGAGCACCTGTGCTCGGGGAGGGGAGCTCTTTGCAGCCACTTGCACATCTGGTGGGTGGTGATGGCAGGGCCAGGAGCAGGAGAGGCTGGGGGTGAGCGGGGCGAGGATCTCACGCAGAGCCACGGAGACACAGCTTTCCTCCAGCCTTGGCCCTCATGGAGCAGGATCTGGACAGCACAGCAGGAAACAGGGAATTCAGCCCCTCTGGCAGCTGCTCCAAAGGAGGTTTGGTGATGAGCTGGGCAGGTTTGCTGTGCCTGTGGCTCAGGGCTCTCCTAGCAGGAATTCAGTGGGCTCTGAGCCTGGGGTGGCACTGGGCTGAGCTGCTCACCAGGGAGGAGACTCACACATGCCAGGGAGACCTCTGGGGAAGAGAGATGGAGAGAGAGATGAATGAAAAACAATGTTTATCCTTGAAATTTAAATGTCTGCGGCTTTTCTAGAGTATGTTTGGAACATCCCAATTAAATTAGTCCATTAGACAAAATCCCATTAATTGGACAGCTTGGTCAGCTGTGGTTTACTCAGAATTTGTTCTGGTTTTAGTATTTTATCATTAAACATAGTTCTGAGTAATTCAAACCTCACAAGACCAAGAAAAATTGCCCATAATTAACATCTTCAAGTGTTAGCAGCTTTCACACAAACACCAGCAAGAGCTCACAGCACTCTCCCCCACTCTACTCCACTTGTTTATTTAATCTGGTTTATCACTGAATTTTTTCTCTGGGTTCCACTGATGTAAACTTGCACTGGTTTGAAGGGTTCCTCTGCAAACACAACAAACCAGCTCCATACAGGAAGGTTTAATCTGTCACCAGAGCTTTTCAGCAATCAGATCCCTAAGCATTAGCTTTGTTAATTAAAGTAGCACGTCTGAAAAATTAGCAGAAGGGAATACATTGGCATATTTCTGTGCAACAGGGAGAATTTATAACTTCAGCAGTCACCAGTGGATTGAAAAAAGCCAGTAGAGCATGCCACATGATGTTGCAGCACCCCTGGGCTAGAAAGACAAATAATATGAGTCATTTAAAAACCAGAAACATTCAAAAGATCATTAAAAAGCTACTATACCTCACAAAATCATATAAATACATTAATCAATTAAAACCTCTATGAAGCATCCTAATTGAATTTTCCTGTAGTAGTGTCATATGGCTTTGGATACTGCCCTTCAGTAATCCAATCAAAAACTGGCATGTTCCCATCCCCACTTATTCTCCCTGATTAGTGAAATATCAGAAGGAAATAAAAAACAAGGTGGAGGGATTCAGGAAAAATAAATACTAGTATTTAAATTTTATCATGTTCTCATTCGTGAATCTTAAACTCATTTATCCAAGACAGTGGATGGCATCCTTCTGCAAGAGTGAGTTATGGCCAGGAAACCCTACAGGTATCATGGAACACAGAATCAGGCAAGGGGAATCATCCAGCACAGGAGAACACGCCAGGGAAAAGCTGACACTCTGAGGGACTGAACAGCTCTTGCTCCAAAACATCTCAACTGCACAGCCCAAGAAAACAAAATGGCAAAACTCCCCTGTGCACCCCACAGCCCCTCACAGACCCCAGGGCTGGAGCAGCTCCAGGGAAGCCTCCATGCAGAGGCTGTGCAGGAATCCAAGAGAGTCAAAATCTCTTCCCAGGATATCTAGCACAGCACAGAAGGGCTAAACAAGAGGGGGAAGGAGCAGGAAAAGCAGCAGCAGCCGAAGGAAGGCCAGGAGCAGATGTGTGTTGCCCACAGTGTCTGCCCCAAACCAGCCCCAAAGCAGGGTCAGCAGAGGAGCAAGAGCTTAGGGGAGCTTAGCACTGACATCTGTAAGCACAGTAAATGGGAACACTACTGATGTAACTGATCTCAGCTAACCCACAGCCCTACTGTCACATCAATATACCAAATATCACCCATCAGTGCTCTCCAAGGGGAGAGGAAGCCAGGAAGGAGGCACAGAAGATGAGCACAGTGTGTTTGTGTATAAGGGGATCCTGTGATGGACCATCCAGTGCAGGTTCTTGGCACTGCAATACTGTCTGTTTTCAAGTACCACAAAATTTCTGTCTTTAAAAAGCCCTTTTTGCAACAAAAATCATTCTCAACTGGTAACTCTCCTTTACCAGGCCACCCAATATGATGTAATTATGTAATTTATACTGCACACAGATGACAAACCCCAGTGAAGACTTTGCTGTGCTACAGTCTGAGCCCCAAGGCTCTCATGCTGGTGACCCTCCCAGCATGTGACAGCTGCTGAGAGGAGCCTGTGAGCAGGGGACAGACTGCAGCAGCTGCTCTGAGCCTTGAAGGAGGGAGAAAACCCAGCCTTACACACTGCACACTGCCTCCTCCTTTATCTTTTGTAAAATAACGTCTCAGGAAAGCAATTTCCAAAGTGAGTAGTGCTGCCGGTGACACAGCTAGGTGAAAGAGAGAATTTACAGTGATTAGAATAGATCAGATTTATGGACTAACAGGAGAGGTGATGCGTGAAGCAGGAATGAAATGTAATGAGGCCAAGAAAAAATTAAACACATGCTCTATTGCAACCTAAACAGCAGTGTACAATTAGACAGGAAACACAATCTAAAACAATTCACATAATGCTTCATAGCAGTATCAAGGAAAAGCAGAAAAGGTCTTGCAGCTTTTACAGACCTCACAATACAGAGAACAAACCAAGGGAAGACTGTGAGGCTGCTTGAAACATCTGTATGAAATGCACAAAGAGCCTGTCAGTCTCAGGAGCACTTTTTGCCACACTGAAAAACGTGAGACAATGCCAAAGAGGCTTCTAGGAGGTTCAAACTCAGTCCTGAAATATTTCATAGATACTGTTTTATTTAGGCAACATGAGCATTTTTGCAAAATTAAACCTACAAGTTACATTAAATCACCCTAAAGCTTGCAGGACCTGGAGCCTTCAGGCATGTGACAGATAAATGCAATAGAGAAGTTGTTTCTCAAAATGAAAGGGTACAGCAGGGAATAAAAGTGGTCTAGAAGAGAGCAGGAATGAGAAGCCAAGAGTTTGAACTGGTCCTTGAAAAAGCCTTGCTGGTCTGGTAGTGGGGCTGAGCCATGCTGCAGAAAATGCTGTGCCAAAGGATGTTCTGGGTTAGCAAATACTGCTGGGGGGAACATCTGAATGCAAACAACCTATTTACAGATAGGGAATAACCTATTTACATAGAGGGACACCCTTAAAACTGTGAAAATGTTCTCTGTGCAAGGTTTATATTTCTACTCTGAAAATATTTACATACACGCTTAACTTTATATGTGTTGACTTGTGATAATCATGGGCTTCCATTTTCACTACAAAATGCAAGAGGATTAGCAGGTTGGTGTGTTTTTATCTGTCTTTGCTTCACTGTTTATTTTTTGCAGTTGTACTTGGGGCAACAGAAAGAACTGCAACTCCCAGAAAGCTAAGCGAAAATGCAAGATTTTGAAATAGTATCAGATGCAACGAAATTTTTCTTTAGTGGAGAGCACTCATTGTTCAAGATCCTCTGTACATACTTTATTAAAGTATTTCCTTAATCACAGCAAATTCTTAGCTGTATTCCTGACTAGCTTCTTTATTTGGCTCAGAAGTAAAATTATCATTCAGATATTAGCAGTTCAGATATTAGCAGATATTAGTGTTCAAAGTCTAATCTATTTTGAACACTTAAACAAAGTCAATAAATATTTAAATTAAATATAATCTGCACTTGCTCAGTGATTTTAATTAAGAATTAAGTTGATGTTCCATTGAAAAGTGTAAGTGTTTAAAGCCAGTGCAATAGGAGAATGATGTTAGAGCACTGGAGACTCTGTACCATTATAAATATATTTTTCAGTATATTGCAGGCTGAGTTTAGCACTGTAGTCAATGTTGCTACATAACTACTCAGATTAATCTTTTAAAAAATATATAAAATTGAAAGCTTAACTAAATCTTGAACTTCTTTGACTGAGATACAGAAGAGTGTTTTACTAAATTTTTCCCTTCATTTTTATTTATATTTTGAGTTCAGTTCCTTCAGGATTCCCTCCATGAGCCCTCTGGGTGTGACAAAGGAGTCTCATGGAGATTTATATGACTTTAGGAAGAAAAGTCTCCTGTGCTGGCTTCACACAGTTCTTTTTAAACAAGAGTGTTACCATCCTATTTAAGACAAAACCTTATTCCTTGCATGAGGATTACAAAATCTGAATCCCAGCCATGGGCTCCCCATACTAAATAAATCCAAGACCAAAGGGTGGCCCACCCACCCCAGAGCACGCCCCCAACTCTGGAAACCTGCACAAGTTACAAATCTCACAGTCAGCTGCAAGTTTTTTCTGTTGTAGTCCACAAACAAGTAAAAATATTTCTTCTATTTGTTCTAGTCTCTGAAAATATGCCTACAGAGACTGTAGTTGCATTTTTATCCCAACATGGACACTGTATTGGACAAATTTTTCTTTGGTTTAAGGGACAGAGTCTGATGTGGAGGGACAGGCTGTGTCTGCCCTTTACCCCAGAACTGGGAACCAACAAATAGAACCCAAAAACACAAACAAACAAACAAAACCACCAAAAACCCAACCAAACAAAACAATACAAAAAAGAAATAAGAAAATAAATACTTAAACCTACTTCCAGTAATTCTGAATGTTACTAACTAAAGCAACAAAAGAAAATTGGTATTTTGCAGAGTGAAGCTTTCAGTTCTCCTTTGAGCAGCTTTGTGGCATGTAAAAAGATAATAAGAAGCTAGCTGTATTCCTCTGGAGGCCTGATTTTAAAAATCTCTAATTCACAACCAACAGCCACTTTCTGATCCAGAAATAAATAACCTACCCAAAAACCCCAACTCAGCACCCCACAGAAGAGCACCACACACAGACACAGTCACAAGAGGGTGGAAGATTAACTCTCTTTTTGATCTGTTGATGAGAAAGAGCACAGTTTTGACACAAAACTGCATTTTCTCCAGTGGACACCAAACAACTCAGGGTAGCACAGTCCAAGAGAGGATTTTCAAAACTGCCATCCATCTGACTTTAATCTGTTCTACCAATTGAGCTGGTGACATCCAATGCCCCAAGCCATGAGCATTTCTCTGCTAAAGAGTCAGCATAGGCAATATGGGATATTTAAGTATTTTAGAACACTCTTAGGAAAGAAAATTAAACACAGCAAAGCCCAGCCAGAAAAAGCCAGCAATAACATTTTCCACCACAGCAGAATTTTCATGTCATGGACGTTTGGCACTGGGTGCATAGAAGCAGGGTCTCTGCCAGCAAGGTAGGGTACAGCAAACACATTAAACCCACAGCAATTCTTCATGGCTTCAGCTTTGCCCTCTGCCATTCTCCTTTGTCCT